AGACATGGAATAATGAGTAATTTTTTCCTTTATTTCTTTGTTTCTTTGTTACAAGTAAATGTAGCTATAGCTTGTTCACTTTCATCTGACCGCGGTTTAAGACAAGATAAAAATCAAACCACTCTGTTTAAACTTCTCAGATCTTTGTATACCGGTCTAAAAGTTGGATGACCACCAGAATGTAAAAGCCCATTCATAAAGTTCACTGTAAACTAAGGTTCAGACACATTTTCTTTTATTGGGGTTGTGTGTTACTACTTAAATTTATAATTAATGCTTTATTCCAAGGGTCTTTGCTTCACTATCAAAAGCCAAGGAGAGATGAAGAGTTTATAATGATAACCTTAAAAAGAAAATAATTTTGTCTCTACTAAAGAGCTGCTTGCTATTCAAATGTTAGAAAAATCTATGAAAACCAGTTTGGAGAAAAAAAACATGTAAAATTGCCTGCTATTCCCGTGTCCTCCCAAATGAGAGGCCTCACAAAAGCCTCAAAGGAATCCACCTGCCTTGAGGTCATCAAGTTGATATCTGACAACACCAGAAAACTTGTCGGCCGGCGCAGTGCCATTCCTGTGAAGTTTCTCCGATGACTTCACAGATGTTATATTACATTCTGTATCCCTCTTCTTCGTTTTCATCAGAAAGTTGTTTTTTTATGTTCACAAGGAAAAAGGAAGTGGTGTTTCAATCATATTGAGCTGTAGCAATCATTGCCATGTTTGTTGTAAGATATATCAAAAGAGTACAGCTACAAATTGCAAAAAAAATACTGGCACTCACGAAAATGATAGATGGACTCGCCCATTCTCAAGACAGTTGTTGTAATCCTCTTGGTGGGCTCATAGTTCTTCCAGAATATTGGTATGTGTATGGACATAGGGAGTCAAATTTTCACACGAGTGCTTCTCTCCCTTTCTTTTTTGAAACTCAGAACACATAAGCTGATAAATATTAAAACTAATCATACATCTTCAGCCTTTTTGTTTATTTTTTAAATTGCACGTGCACTGACTACAATCCAAATTGGCCAGAGGACTGACTGGTAGAGTAAAAACCAAGCCGTACTTCTAAACTTACATTCAATACACCTGAGACCCGTCAAATCAGTCCGATGTCTGAAGTGTTTTTTTTCAAAAAGTACGTTTAAAGGTGCCAAATGCTTACTAAACTTGACCACAATGCACCAATATGCAAGGAACAATGATCTCCTGTTTCTTGTTGACATTATTCTTAACATAAATAACGTGTATTTTGAGGCAACATAAGCAGAGAAAGTAAAGAAAGGTAAGGAAAATCCTGTCAACTTGCCAATGTCAATCTTGCGGTTTATAGCCACCTAAGCCATACCTTAACAACTACAGGTACTCACCAGTCTGCTGAAGCCGCCATGAATAATTGCTACTCCTCCTGGGTAGTCTGAAACCTGAGGAAAACAAGAAAACAATACAACAACTCTATATAGTCAGTATTGTTTGTTTGTTAGTAAGTGTGTTATGGCACTTGAAACACAATAAGGTCAATAAGTGCTAAAGATGAGAGGTGTTACAAGAGAGAAACAAAAGCAAAAAAGGAGAAATAATAACAAAAGATGACTAAAAGGAAAGTAGGACCAAACCACACCAGAGCACCCGCCAATCATCCGCAAACAGTCACTATGGATGCTACCTCATTTTTATTACTTCTAAATTATACAATCCTATTATAAAGTAATTTTAGGGGGTAAAAACGAAAGGGGGGGGGGGGGAATCCTATGAAATTATACACTTTTCACTAGGGCTGGATTCTGCTCGGTTAATCGAAGGATTGTAAAGCAGTGGAAGTCTTGCGCTAGAGTCTTGCGAGCAGGCTTGTGGTTTGATTTGCCTCCCGCTTGCTACCGGAGGGAACTTCCGGTGAGTTGTGACTCGCGGACAGTCCTGCTGTACTGTGTCGTGACGTCGCGAACTCTCGTGGCAGT